GAATGCCGCCTCTGAGTTTATATAAACTGGTAAAATGTGCAGGAGGCCTGAGAAGCAGCTGAGAGGTCCAGTGAAAATAATCATCTGCTCTTCATGCCAAGAGGCAATAAGCACTGCAGGTAAGATAAAGTTCCAGACTTTAAATCCATCCTCAGTGCAGCAAGCCTGCGGCCATACTTCCCTCGAGAAGGTGCCTTGTCCATCACTACAATCAGTTCAACCAAAGCATTTTATGCATTTATTTATTTTCAAGTTGTCAACAACGTTTTAGAAGGCAAAGGCCGACAAAGCTTCTTCCAAAAAAGCCAAAGGGATTCTTTATTCCTTTTGAGAAAAATGACCTACAGACATTTTTGCAAAAATGCTAATAAAAAACTGAATGCCAATATGTTGGCTCAACCAAAATAAAGCCTCTTAAGTATGTACCAGTGTAATATGATGATATATAGTGCAATTTAGAAAAGAAAAAACTAACGGGAGTAGAGAGGCTAAATAGAATATAATCATTTATTATTATATTAACTCATTCTCATTTGCCCGGACTAATGTTTATTCATATCAGGAACTTCTAAACTGTAACAAAATAGTATTTGAAATTCAATTGTGCACTTTCACTAAAACACTCAAAGAAAGAAGTCACTGAGATAAGAATTCATATATTCTCCTCAAAAGTCTCATTTACTGTATTTTAACATCTACATTAATTTATGTTTTATATAATGAGTATCTAGAGCTCATGGGTTTCAGTGTTCTCTTTTCTACACACCCAGTGCATTTTAGTCATCGCCATATAAAGGGTAGTCAATAAAATTTCTTAAATATTTTAATGAATAAATTTATTTTATACCAAAGAATCTTAACTTTGAGTCATTAAAGGAAATTTAACAGACCCATGAGCCCCTAAAATTGTACACAAAGTACTTCTGTTAATGTCAAAAGTCCATTTTATTCCTGTAGAGAAAATCCATACATTTTCTCATATTTCCAAAGAGCATCATTGACTTTCCTCCCATAAATGATTAAGTCTATTTTCTCTCAAAAATGTAAAGATGCAATCTTTTAAGGCAGTATGGTATAACAGAAAGGTCTTAGGACTTACAAAACCCTCAGAAAACCTCATCCTTCACAGTGATTTGTTAGAAATATTTCCATTAAAAAAGACAAAGATATTAATTAGGGCCATTGTTTTAACACATTATATAATGAGGTCTTATCCAAATTAAAAAAAAGAAAAGTTAAACAGCAACAAGAGATGTAAAGTTGAAAAGAATTGTAAAGAGTGCTATTATGTATAGATGATATCATCTATATAATAAACACAAGATAATACACAGACAAGAATTAGAATTAATATAAGACTTCAACAAGATTGCCAGATAACAAGGATCAATATTTTAAAACAATGGGAGTTCCAATAAATTAGAGGGGGAAAAAAGGAAAGAATACATAATTTAAAAGATTTATAAACTAAGAAGCTTAAATTACAAGAACTCTGGACTATATATGGTACATTCCATACAAAAGTGCAAAACTATATTAAAGAATATAAATAATAAATAGAAATTTTATAAAATAAGTATTAAATAGAAAGAAATCTCACATAGTTTCTTTTAAAAAGGCACAAAAACACAAATTCTAAAACAAAATAATAGGGTCACCTTGGTGGCTCAGTAGGTTAAGTGGCCTACTCTTGGTTTCAGCTTAGGTCATGATCTGATGGGTCCTGAGACTGAGTTCTATCTACTTCAGGCTCCATGCTCAGTGTGGAGTATGCTTAAATATTCTTTCCCTTACCCCTCTCCACTCTCATACATACACTCCCTCTAAGAAATAAATAAATAAATATTTTTTTAAAAATTAAAAGAAAATAATAACAAAACTTATTATATTAAAATCAATGTTTCCTTTAACAAATTGCCCCACAAGAGACAGTCTACCCAAAGGAATTTTGTATTTTCAATGTATGTAACTAGTAAGGACACAGTATCTAGAATATGTTCAAAATGTTTACAAACCAATAATCTTTACTTTTTTTTAAAGATTTTATTTATTTATTTGACAGACAGAGATCACAAGTATGCAGAAAGGCAGGCAGAGACCTGAGCTGAAGGCAGAGGCTTTATTTAACCCACTGAGCCACCCAGGTACCCCACCAATAATCTTTAAAACATGAATGAATACAATATACAGTAGCATTAAGAAGAGGCACAGAAATTAGAGTAGCAGTAGTGATAATGATTATTGTTAGCATTAACATTATTATTACTATTGTTACTTAACAAGGACTTAACCAATCTTTTCTTCTAGTCCCTTCCTTTTCTAGATCCAGTTGCCAAAGTCCTGGGAGGTCTCACCTCAAATCACAAAGACTGCCAAAACTAAAGTGCTTTAAAAAAAAAAAAAAAAAAGCCAAATCTAAATTTCAATCTATTATCACAATACTTAATCCACAGACTCTAATTATTAAACAAATGCTTCTCTATGCAACACAATAAGAAAAAACAAATATTTATACCAAACTGAAAAGGAATACAGTATAAAAAGAATTAGTTCAGACTAAGAGTACCAGAGCAAGACATGATCAATTATTTTAGCAATAGCAAAGAAAAACTACAAACTAAATCTCTGTGACAAATATGGTTATAATTTTAATCAAACTTTATCAGATAATTCTGTGGTTGACATCTATAAATAATAGACATTTGAAAATTAAATAGCCATTTTCAACATATTTTCTAGCAATAAGATAAATGATGTATATCATAAACTTCTGAAAATATCTGGAAGTTTCAATGTATAATATTATAAATAAAAAATGGATTTTCATTTAGATGCCATGACTCCAAAACATTTTACAAGGTATTGGTTCTGTCAATCAAAATTGTTGAGGTTGTAAGATCCATAAGTCAAAATTTTTATATATTCTTAATTATTTTTTTCTCCTTATAACATGACCTTCTTTATGTCTAGTAATGCTTTTTACTTTAAATTTATTTTGGGTCATATTAATATATCACACCAAATAGCATTGTATTATTTTCACCTTTTTTCTTTAAGATTTAATTTATTTACTTGAGAGAGAGAGAGCGAGCAAGGATGGGGGAGGGGACAGAGAGAGGGGAGGAAGTAGAATCCCTGCTGAGCGGGAACCCCACGTGGGGCTCAATCCCAGGACCCCCGGATCATGACCTGAGCCAAAGGCAGATGCTTATCCAACTGAGCCACCCAGATGTCCCTATTTTTCACCTTTTTACTTTCAGTTTTCTCATTTCTGATACTTTAGATATGATCTTTTAAATGTATTTAATTAAAATTCATATTTTTATGAAGCCTGATTTTTTTTAAGCTTTCACATGGAACATTTATTCCATTCACATTTAATTTAATTACAGATATATTTGGGTCTATATCTGCCATCTAATTTCTCACTTCAATTTTATTTCTTCTTTGTTCTTCCTTCTTTCCATTATTGCCTTTCGGTCATTTTTTGAGTAGGTATTTTTTCTCAAAATCTATTATTTTTTTCCTTTACTACATTAGACTGTATGCTCCCTATTCTATTCCCTTAAGATTAGTCTAGAAATTACAACACACATATAACTGATCAACGTTGAAAATTAACCAGTATATTTATTCTCTTCTTTGATCCTATGAGAACGCCAATTACTATTCTTCCTCATTTATACATTGTTTTTTGTTTTAATTCTATCTTGTGCCTTTAAACCTCACAAAACAATATTATTTGCTTTTAAAATATTAAAGTTCACTTAGATTTACTATATATTTACCACTTCTTTCATTATTCATCCCTCTCACCATGTATCACTTGGTATCACTTCTGCCTGAAATATATCTTTCAGATTTGCCCTTTATAAGGATCTACTGGTGGGAATATTTTTGCTGATTTAAGATGTCTTTTTTTTTACCCCTAATTCTAGATATTTGCTTTCACTTAGTATAGAATTCTAGGTTAGCTCTTATTTTCTTTTAACACATTTAACATATATGCTCTTTGGCTTCTGCTGTTTCTATTGTTAATACTGAGAAGTTGTTACTTACTAATTGTTACTCCTAAATTTGAGGATTGGTGTTTTTATTTCCAAAAATATCCCAAACATTATGTATTACAATATTGTTTATATTCCAATTTCTCTTTCCTCTCTTTGGAACTCCAATTAGACATATGTTGAAATTTCTTATGTTAATACTCCATGGTTTTTATATCTCTCTTTTATGGTTTCCTTCTCTTATTACCTCTGTTATATATTCTAGAGAATTTCTTCTCTTCAATCTTGTAGTCCACTAATTTTCCTGTTGTTCATCTAATTAACTGCTAAGTGCATCCATTAAGTCATTCAGTTTTATTTTCAATTGTTCTGTCTTTTATTCTCAGATATTCTTTTTGGTTATTTTTCAGATCTGTTGGTCCTTTTTTATAGCTTCCTATATTCTGAATATCTTTTCAAGTTTGTCTTCTTTCAAATATACTAAGTATTATAATTCAATAATATATGCCTGATAGCTCCAACAGTTGAAGTTTTTGCAGATTATTTCCTCTTTCTAGTGTTTTTATTTTGTTTTTGATTCTCTCATGGTCAGCTATTCCTTTTCCTTAGCCAGTTATTTGTAGGAATTCTCTTAGGTCTACGATTAGTGGGCCTTCATCCAAAGGACATTGGCATTTACTTCTGCAAGACACCCTGGAAAAGAGAGAGGTCCAAATGGACTTACTTTATTATTTATGCCATAGCAAACAACACTAGCTCACATCCACTTTGGTTACTCCTGCTCTTCCAAGTTCCATGGGATAATGCAGAGGCAGGCTAAGGTAGGAGTCTTTGTTACATACATAAGAATCTTTGTCATAACTAAGGAACCTCAAAATAAAGAAACTCTTAATCTTTTAAAGATTTTAAAACCTTTCCAGTTTTGCCTGTAAGGAATTACTGTCTTTATATTCCTAGTCAAGAAAAAAAAATTATTCCCTCTAACTTCCAAAGATGTCTGCATTTCATACACGGCTGACAAAACCTGCCAGTACCCTCAGTTCAGAAGACATAAAGTTAAAACAGAAATGTCTCACAACAGAAGGTAAGTTCCAATACCTAATCAGCCATATTAATGATAATAGAAAATTTCTTTCTAAAATATAATATATGCTATATATATGAAAGAAAACACGTAGTAACATGTAGTAACATACATGGCTTAAAATAAGAAACAATCATGCATCCACCATCAGGCCAGAATTCTGAAGAAAAAAATATGTTCTGATAGAAAAGAAAGCAACCTCTTTGAATTCAACAATAATCACTTTTTGTTGTTCACAACGTTAAGCATCATTTATTTAGTCCTTACATTGTACAGGTTCTAGTGATAAAACCTTTAGAAAAGGACTTACCTTCAAATAATCAAATAAATGTACAAGTGAGCATTTAATTACAACAAAGGGAAGGAACATGGTTCTTTGAAAGTATAGTAAAAAATAAATAAATTTTAGACGAGGAGGTCTAAATAAATTTCGACTTAGACCAGCAGGGTGATGAGGTTATCAAGGAAGACTGCTCTGGGGAAGTGATGCTTCTGTCGAGAGCTATGGGCTAACTAACAAGCAAATATTAAGTCTTCACTTATTTTTCAGGAAATATACAACATCACAACATTGTTAAATGGAAGTTTCAAACTGGAAATTACAACAATTCCCATATCCTCACTTTTTGAAAGTCAACATTTGATCATTTAGAATACTGTCCTATGATCATTGGTCCTGGGCACTTCATACTCAGTAATCTTTCTGATTATTCTCCCTCAACCACTCTCACACAATGAGATCAACTTGCACTGAGCAGCATTTCCTCTTCAGACCAATAGGACAACATCCAAACTTTTTTTTTTAAAAGATTTTATTTATTTATTGGCCAGAGAGAAAGAGAGCACAAGTAAGGGGGGAGGGAGGGCAGCAGACAGAGGGAGAAGCAGGCTCCCCACCTGCTTTTCCTTAGCCCTGTGGGACTCAATCCCAGGACCCTGGGATCATGACCTGAGCTAAAGGCAGACACTTAACTGAATGAGCCACCCAGGCATCCCAATATTCAAATTTAATATCTGATATTATAACCTATTCTGTAAGGCTAATCTTGTTTTATTTATTCTAATTTGATAATTTCATAATAAAAAGAGGGCACTGTGATGATTTAGTGAATACAATAACTTATTTAGTGTTTAAAAAGCAAAGTGAAGCAAAAATCCAATAACAAAGACAAATACTATGCAACGTATAAAAGCAAAAATATAAATACCACAGAATCTGAGTAATATTTAGGCATGCCTTAAAAACAAATCTTGTGTGTGTGTTCCAAAACAAATAAATATTATTTAACTACTGTATTTTTTCTTTTGTTTGTTTCTTAAAAAAAAATCTACTTAGCTAATTTGGGCAGGTTATGTTGAGCCAAAGAATGACCTCAAAATCTTATATAGTTCAAATGACATAAAGATTTCTGTACAGAGAAAAATGGAATGTTTTACAATATATCCAAAAATAATTTGCATTTATAGATATAATTAAAAACATTTACATGTATTTTTATTTTTTAAACTTTTAATCATTGGCTATTTTCACCTTATAAGGTATATGTTCCTGATACCTGCATGGTTTGGAAATACTGACTTGGGGCATTTGCATAGACAATTTGAGTCTAACAAAAAATAAGACAACCATTTGAATTGCTGTACAAGAGTAATGGCTCTTTGCAAGATGTTTCCTCTTTTTCTACCCAATAAAAATCTGGGTGCATTATATAATTTTTAGTGTATTAAGGGACACAACATGTCATGAATCAGTGGGGAGGCTTGACAGATTTTGTGAATATCATTCTGCAACTGTTCTCTGGACCATACTTTCTCCTTTATATTACGAAGAGGAAAAGAGAATCAAGTAGCAGTTCTACACATTTGTTTTTATTAACCCAGTGCCAAAAGGAATAGGCAGTTAAATTAATAGCTATGCAGAGGAATGAAGTGTGTGGAAGAATCCATCTCTGTCTCATAATCTAATGTCATATAGAAAGGACATCCTGATGTTTGTCTCACTTTAATCACACTTCAACCAGGTTTTTATTTACATCCACATTTTATACTTTGATACGTAATTATAAGTCTCAGAGTAGCTTTCAAAAATACAATTAGCATACAATCCCAAAGAATTTAAAATGTGAAAATCTAAGACAAAGAAAAATATGGTTGCACAAGTAGGAATGAAAAAAAAATACTATGAGATTTCAAAGAGAGAACCCTATTATATACTAAACAATATCAACAACTCAAAATAAGTACAGTGACCTTCACAGAGAAGTTTCTTCTAATATCTCTTAGTATAGGATGATGACAACTCACCAAACAATTCAGTAACAAGGAAGTGGGTAGGAAACCAGTGTGATCCACATAAACACAACTCTCTGAAGCTCTTGACAGGTACTTACAATGTCTAGAGATATAGGTGAATCAGCTATGCTTAAGCAAATAAAGTTCTTTTCAATGTGGTTATAGCTATTAAGCAGCTCTCAGGTCCACAGTTTACTCTCTGGCAAGTATCTAAAACACAACTATATTTCTGATTATGTACACTGGCATGTGCATCAATTATCTGAGAAGACAGATATTTTCTTGGGTAAAGAAAGAAGTTTAACAAATGTAGTTCACTTCCAGAGTACTTAACAATGACCAAAAAACATCATCAATAATTTAACTATTTGTAGAATGTAAGTTGTGTGTTCTACTGTACAGAATCCTAAAGCTCCATATACCAATAAAGAGGCACACAGAACATACCCAAATTCTTTTCAGGAAGGTATACACACCTAGAACTTTTCTATAAAGAAGAGTGTTCAGTAGAGACAGAACTCATGTATTTGACTTCAGTATTCTACACAGTAGACTATATAATCTTGAACTTCCATGCTTCTGTAAAAATAAGATATCCACGTCTATAATATATATAGAAAGATGCAATCAACAAATAAAGTAAGAACAGACTAGTAAGATTAATGTTTTCAGGACGGTGTCATGTTTGGATAAATTTCCAAATGTCGGAACTATAAATGGAGACACATACTGACTTAGTTTTATCATGAAACATATATCAAGAATATCAATAAAGAATGAAATGTATAATGTACTGAATGAGGGAAATATTCATTGTCCCAACATTTCTAGTTCTAAAAATATATCCCTCATATAGGCATACATTTTGTAGCCACTACCACAAAATACTCTGTAACAAACCATTCAGTCACTTAAAACATGAAAAATTTAGGCCCCAGCCACCAGACTGGAAGCGCCAGGCTCGAACCCTAATTTCCTTGTCTAGCTTGGAACCCGGGCATCGCCAAGATCCCAGCTTACCACTCTTCTCTCATGGACCCTGACACCAAAATCATTGGAAACATGGCACTGTTGCCTATCAGAAGTCAGTTCAAAGGACCCATCCCTAGAGAGACAAAAGATATAGGCATTGTGGATGAAGCCATCTATTACTTCAAGGCCAATGTCTTCTTCAAAAACTATAAGATTAAGAATGAAGCTAATAGAACCTTGATATATACAATTCTCTACACTTTTGTTGAGTGTCTAAAGAATCTCCAAAAGTGCAATTCCAAAAGCCAAGGTGAAAAAGAAATGCATACACTAGGAATCACTAATTTTCCCATTCCTAGAGAGCCTGGTTTTCCATTTAATGTAATTTATGCCACCCCAGCAAACAAACAGGAAGGTAAGGTGATAGGGGCCTACTTACAGCAGTTGAGACAAGCAACTGGACAGAGATTTGTGACAAAGTTTTTGACCCTCAGAACGATAAACATAGCAAGTGGTGGACTTGTTTTGTAAAGAGACAGCTCATGAAAAAGAGACTTTCAGGACCTGGACAGTGAAAAGAGCCTGGGCAGATACTTTCCACAGGTGTGGGCAGCATTTTACAGCAAGATATACACAGTTCTTTGCCTTTATTTGATAAAGTTTTATACAGAAGAGAGAAGAGAGCATGTCTTCACTTGAAGAGCTCTGAATAGAATTTGTATGGGGGAGGGAAGAATGGGTTATTGAAGGATAATTTGAATTTTATGTAGTATTAAGCTGGTGCTTAATAAAAATAAGAATAAAGAAATTTCTAATGAAACAAGAATAATTTACCCTCATCCATTTGTTAACTGGTCTAGACTGAATTCATCTGAGCAGCTCTACTGATTAAAGACAAGGCTTACTCATACATATGAGGGTCTTTGTCTGATGTAGCCTAGATCCAGCAACAGAACTCTGGCTTGTTAGTCTGGCCATATTCCTTCCAGGTTGATAACAGAAGCTCCAGAAAGCAAGCAAAAACATGCAGGACTTCCCAGGGCCTGGGCTGGGAATTGGCAAACAGCTACTTCTGACCATTCTATTGACTAAAGCAAGTCATATGGCTGAACCCAAAATCAAAGAGGGCCATGAAGATGAGAGGAATAGAGTAAATATGTTTAAACAATTAACTAGTCAAATATAGTTAAGTATAAAACATATTGCAGTTTGTTAACAAATACTTGAGATGTCTATCAATGTCAAAAATTCTATAAAATTAAATGTTTTCATATAATAAGCAAACTATACAACTATTTTAAATAGTATTATTTTATAGGTTCTGATAACAAACACATAACAAACATATCTTAAACAGAATAAAAGAAATGTGTAAACAGTGAAATAAGAATTATAAGCAAAAGATTTTCAATCCATTCTATCCTGTATCTGGGAAGAGATTTTAGTGGGGGACACTCCTAGAAAAGAAAGCAAGCATGTGTTCCTTCTCACAATCTCCTTGTAAGTATGCTCAAAGTATTTTTGCTGGCAGCAGATTCCTTTCCTTCCTTTTATCAGAATATACCTGGTTTTCAAAGACAGGTATGGTAAAAACTATAATCTATAAATTTATTAGCCATGACTTCCTAGAAAGTGTCCCAAAAGCAGTATAACTATATGAGCATGTGTTAGCCTTCTAGGACTGCTATAACAAACTACAGGCTGAGTTGCTTAAAATAATACTAATTTATTTTCTCACAGAGCTGGAGGCCAGAAGTCCATGATCACTGGTACCAGCAAATTCAGACCCTGCTAAGAGGTCTCTTCCTAAGGTATAGTTGGCTTCTCTCTTGCTGGATTCTCACAATATCTTTCCTCAGTGTGTGTATGCAGTGAGAGTTCTCTGGTGTCTTTTTTTTTTTTTCTTTTCTTTTTTTCAGTGTTCTAAGATTCATTGTTTATGCACCACACCCAGTGCTCCATGCAATACGTGCCCTCCTTAATACCCACAACCAGGCTCAACCATACCCCCACTCTCCTCCCCTCCAAAACCCTCAGTTTGTTTCTCAGAGTCCACAGTCTCTCATGCTTCATCTCCCCCTCCAATTTACCCCAATTCACTTTTCCTTTCCTTCTCCTAATGTCCTCCATGTTATTTCTTATGCTCCACAAGTAAGTGAAACCATAAAATTGACTTTCTCTGATTAACCAATTTCACTCAGCGTAATCTCCTCCAGTCCCATCCATGTTGATACAAAAGTTGGGTATTCATCCTTTCTGATGGCTGTGTAATATTCCATTGTATATATGACATCTTCTTTATCCATTTGTCTGTTGAAGGGCATCTTGGTTCTTTCCATAGTTTTGCAATTGTGGACATTGCTTCTATGAACATTGGGGTACAGATAGCCCTTCATTTCACTACATCTGTAGCTTTGGAGTAAATACCCAGTAATGCAATTGCGGGATCAGATGGTAGCTCTATTTTTAATTTCTTAAGGTATTTCCACACTATTTTCCAAAGTGGCTGCACCAACTTGTATTCCCACCAACAGTGTAAGAGGGTTCCCCTTTCTCCACATCCTCTCCAACACTTGTTGTTAACTGTCTTGTTAATCTTTGCCATTCTAACTGGTGTAAGCCGGTAACTCAATGTGATTTGGATTTGAATTTCCCTGATGGCTAATGATGATGAACATGTTTTCATGTTTCTGTTAGCCATTTCTAAGTCTTCTTTGGAGAAGTGTCTGTTCATACCTTCTTCCCATTTTTTGACATGATTATCTGCTTTTTGGGTGTTGAGTTTGAGGAGTTCTTTATAGATCTTGCATATCAGCCCTTTTTCTGTAATGTCATTTGTGAATATCTTCTCCCATTCCATGTGTTGCATCTCTGTCTTGTTGACTGTTTCCTTTGTTGTGCAGAACTTTTTATCTTGATGAAGTCCCACAAGTTCATTTTTGCTTTTTTTTTCCTTGGCCTGTGGAGACACGTCTTGAAAGAAGTTGCTGTGGCCAATGTTGAAGAAGTTACTGCCTATGTTCTCCTCTAGGATTTTGATAGATTCCTGCCTCACGTTGAGGTCTTTCATCCATTTCGAGTTTATCTTTGTGTATGATGTAAGAGAGTGGTCGAGTTTCATTCTTCTATACCATAAGATACCTTGGAATAAACCTAACCAAAGACGTAAAGGATCTGTACTTGAGGAACTACAGAACACTCATGAAAGGAACTGAAGAAGACACAAAAAGATGGAAAAGCATTCATTCCATGCTCATGGATTGGAAGAATAAACATTGCTAAAATGTCTGTATGCCAGAGCAATCTATACTTTCAATGCCACCCTGATCAAAATTCCACCAGCATTTTTCAAAATGCTGGAACAATCTTAATATTTGTATGGAAACAGAGGACTCCAAATCACTAAGGAAATGTTGAAAAAGAAAAACAAAGCTGGGGGCATCACATTACCTGATTTCAAACTTTACTACAATGCTGTGATCACCAAGACAGCATGGTACTGACACAAAAACAGACACATAGACCAATGGAACAGAGTAGAGAGTCCAGATATGGACTCTCAACTCTATAGTCAAATAAACTTTGACAAAGCAGGAAAAAATATCCAGTGGAAAACAGACTCTGGTGTGTCTTCTTGTAAAGACACTAAACCAAATGAATTAGGACCCCACCATTTTGACCTCATTCAAACTTAATTACTTCCTTATGAGGTCCCATCTCCAAATATAGCTATACTGAGGGCTAGCTTCAACATAAGAACTTGGAAAAGGCATTCAGGCCATGACAGATCATAAAATTAAGATCTTTCCTGACTTAAAAAACTCTTCCTAAGTGATATACCAATATATACTTCATCTGTTAACCTGAGTCAGCATTTCTTCCAGTGAGAGAGCAAAGGGCTAAGGAATCATACTGGGGGAGCTGAACATCTTCTTGCTTCCTGTGCCCCTTGCTTAATTAATAGTTAATAATGAGGTATACCCTGAGTGAGATCTTTTTTGTGTGTATATTTGACTTGACAATAGAATCCTTTGCATTCTCTCCAGTGTATACAGTGTTTCAAGAACTCTGGAGGATTTTTAAGTAAAATAAATCAAATAATGAACAACATAGATTATGTATCATATTTTATCAGCTACTTAAAAATGTTTAAATTTACTAATGAGTAAATTCTAACATCAAAATTCAACTTCCCACAGAAAGCTTGTGCATAGTTAAAGGGCCTTGAAGAATTAATTTTAGTAATCTTAAATTAACAAAATTAAATTTATAACTTAAAAATTTAGTGTCTAGTACATAATAATTAAAAAGAAATAAAAACTAAAACAGATGTAATAGAAAAATAACAAAAAATACATTGAGAAAAAAGAAATCATTATGGTCATAATAATCTTCGTTTTTATTAGATTTTACAATGCATGGCATGATATAAACCCCTCCATTCATAAAATGACAGCGTTTGAATTATGTTTGTTATATATATTCTCTCCTACTGTGGTATTTTGGCAAGTGCTAGTATCATAACCAGTGTTAATTAATAAATCATAATTCTCACTGTGGGATGCATTTCTTGACACATACACCAATTCCCAAGAAAAATATAAAAAATGTAAAATCTTTTCAAATCTGTAAGCTGGAACTTCTAATTAAAAATACTACAATATGTTCCATAATGGGAAGGTCTCCAAAAATCTCTGTACATAGGTTAGAAGGATGAAAAGCCGTGAAAAATTCTACTCTCTGCCACAGGAGGTATTTATAAAGATAAGCAGATCCATCAAACTAAAAAATAGAAGCTTATCTTTTAAACCGCCAAAACTTTTCAGCCCCTGAAAAGTCTTATTGGATCATATTAGCATTCACTAATTATTAGTCATTTATACTTCAAGTTTTTTATTAAATTTTTTTTCTTTAGCCCCCACAGAATATCTTTTTGAAATATTTTCTCAAAATATCATTCACCATAAGCCAATGTACTAAATATAAAGCCCATTTTATGAATTGTTTAACTGAGAGTTCCCTTGACATATGCTTCCTCCCATCCATATCCTTTGTACGAATATAGCTTTTCAAACCAACAGATAATAAAACTATGTAACTTCTAGCTTATATCCCCACGACAAAAAAACTGTCCAATTAATGAGCTCACTTTATAGACATCTTAAGTTATCTAGAATCTACTTTTATTAAAATTGGATTGTATACGTGCTAATCCATTTTATCAAAATTGGACTGTATATGTGTTACATGAAATATTTTTTTAAGTGTAAGCAAAACCAAGGTATAGACACAATTTTGCTTTAACATTTGGGTACAAAATATAGTTTGCACTGATATTCAAGGAGACCACCTGGCTTGAGGGATGTGACTCAGAAACACAATTATATGATTATCAATAGTAACAAAATAGGTGGCTATGGGGAAAGATTTTTAACCTATTAACAAGTCTCTATTACTTTCTTAACAATCCACAATAAGCCTATGATTTATTTACCAAAATAAACAAATTTATATACAAAACACCTCTACATCACAAAAAAAGAGTTATTCAATCAAATTTAAAGAGTATTTTCTA